GATGCATGATTGGTTGTTACCTTTTATTTGATGTTTACCATTTTGGGTTGTTACCTTTGCTTTGATGATGTTGTTACATTGTTTGCCTTTTATTATTCCATGCTCCCATAGAATTTCTTGATTCAATATTAGTTAAGATTTGAATTGAGATATACCTTAGGATTGATATCCAATCATGAGAACATTAGGTAGGTGTTCCTTTAATAACCTAACCTTAGGAGTACCATTGCATGATAACAAATAGGATTGAGATCCCATAGATTTTGTTCATTTTTACATTGCATCTTGTAAGATTAAAAGAGATTTTCTCAATTAAATTCAAAAGCATCTAACAAATAAAGATGAAAGCCATACTTCACATGATCCTTAAGAAATGAAAAGGATGAGATGGTACATTCCCTATCTTGTTCTTTCCTCTATTCATAGTCCTTGGTATGGTTCAAATTACGAATCCTTTCACAAATAAGTGGAGAAGTAGTAAGTATCCCTCTATTGGGATCCATTTACTATGATCCCAATGAAACATAGAACAAATTCAACTTCTTTTTCCAGTTGGATTTTCTTTTGAAAACTTTTCAAAAAGGGTTACTACCCATAAAAAACACAAACAAATAAAACAATTTGAGTAGAGTTATGGTGCTCTAATTTTTTCAAGATACGTAGGCACGAGGTTGCAAAATCTAGGCGAGTGCAATAATAAAAAACTTTCTCTTTGTTCTTTAGCAATTCATTCATACATTCCCTTAGCAAGTAAGCTTTAGATAATACACCCTTTGATTAGAAAAACAAGAGTGGATCCTGTAACACCCCAATTTTATTAGTTATATATTATATTAATTAACTATTTGTTTGATGTTGTGAATAAATGATTGTTTAATGTATGTTGTATGTGATGATTTAGTCTGGTTAAATATGGATAATCATAGAATTATAGTTAGTTTTGGTGTCGGTTAGTAAATAATTATTAGTGATAATTATATGGAAATGATAGAATATTTCTAATTGGGCCTAATGTGTAAGACTGTAGAGAGTTAGTGGAGGCGTGGATAGTAAGCCCATTAGCTTGGTTACTAGAGTGATATTATTTTATTAGTTTAATAAAAAGAAAAGAAAAATAAGATTTGGGAAGAGAAATAGCAAAGGAAAATAGAAAAATGTTTCACGAGAAAAGAAGAGAAGAGCGAGAAAGAGGAGAAAAGGGCAAGGACACAAAAGTTAGTAGAATCAATCTAGAACAAGGTAATGGTGAGTTTTTACTTGGTTATTGGGATTGTATGATGATGGGTAGTAACATGTATTAGGATCTATTTCATTAATTTCCATATTTTGAGATTGTTAGTTTTTAATGAGAAATACTTGAATATGATGATTGTTTGTGTTTTAATGTTTTGGTTGATAAATACATGTTAGATATAAGTTATTATGCCCTAATCTGTGGTGAATTGCATGTAAAAATGTGTTTTGGGTGAAGAAAATCGCATTGGGACAATGTTGTCATCGCAGGAATTTTCTACAAAATCGAAGAGGGTGCTTAACGCCATTTAATGCGCTTAGCGTGGTCGAAGTCATTGAGTTTGGAACTCAGAGCCTAGAAGCTCTCTTAGCGCGTTCACCTGGGATTCGGAAAATGTTTATTTTGTTAAATTATTTTGGGATTATGAAACTTGATTTATATGTGACATGTGTAGTTGTGGTTGTGTAGAATCGCAACGATGATTGTACATTGTCTATTTTGTATGGTGATGATGTTTTGGTGCATGGATACTATGAAATATGAATTGTATGTGAATGATTCATGAGTATATATGCAAATGTGTGGTAATTCAAGTGTAATGAATTATTGAAGATATGCATGGATGTTAAGATTAGAGAATGGTCTTAATCGCATATGATTATTGTAATTGCACATGCATCATTTGTTGTCAAGAGACATGCTTGTTAGTTTCGAGGGAGCTAGTGGCTTGTCCCAAACCTAGAGATGGGTTTGAAAGCTTAGAGGACGAGCTTTTTATGTGTTATTGGTCTAGAGTACTGACCCATTTTAAAGTAAAAGATGAATAAAAATATCAGTGATTCATATCACATGCATGAGTATTACATTTGAGTTGTACGGAGTCATATTGTGTATGTTTATAATATGGAATTATGTGAACTATGTGGGATTGTTGTATTTTGTGAAATTGTGAATGATGAATGAATACTTGTGAATAGTATGAGTAATTGGGTGATGTTATGTTTTTAGACATATGAAGTGTGAGAATGTTATTTTATACATGAATGCTATGTATGATATATTGTTATGTGATTTCATAATTATGTGAATTCTCACACTTCTGTTGGAATGATGTTTTATACGATATCGCTCAAGTAATAGAGATTAGAGTTGCTTCTAGCAAGAGAGTAGCTGATGGAGTAGCTTATCGTATTTCCGTATTTTTTTGGGTTGAGTCATGCTCTGGTCATCTAACACTGGGAAAAACGTTTAGATCCATGTTTTGAGAGATACATGGTATACACTATTTTATTATGTTATGATGTGAATTGGCTTTTATGCCTAAGTTGTTTAACCAAGGAAGTTGTTAGAGACTTAAACATTATGTTTATTTAAATGAAGATTATTCCGCTGCTACGTGCTTAGGTGAAAGTGTATAAAAAGCATGAATTTTTTTTTAGTGTTATTGAGCATGACATGTGTATGAGATGTTTGAAATAGGTATGACACCCTTGAATGAGATGCATGTTATATTACTCTGATTTATGCTATATATTTCTGCAGGGGTTTTAGAAGGGTATTACAGATCCCATGGAAGACCACAGGCGTGAGGGGTGATAATACCTTCCTCTTGCGTAATCGACTTTCGTACTCTTCTCTTGATCGAAAGACCATGTTGTTTCATTTTCTTAGGTTTTCTCGATGTTTTTCTTTACCTTCTTTGGGATAAATAACGTTCAATGGCGACTCTGTTTACGTCGGTATTTTTCGCGGTAGCGACAGATGGAGAATCTATTGGGGAGTACCTAAGCAAGTCAATCCCAGCTCTTAGTTGTTTGCTTTTATTGGGTGTTTATTTCTTTAAGCTTTATTTTCTTTACATGTTTGCATCTTTGCTTCTTGTTTCATTGTTCCTATATGTTGGATATATGTTGTGCTGTTGATTTTCTTGGTGGGTGGAATGATACTATGAGGTAAAAAGCCCAGTACCTAGGCCAGAGAGAAACACCAAGGAACACATAGGACTAGAGTGGAGTCATGACGGATACTGGATACAGATCCTACTAATGCGGTCATGTGAGCCACACACAGATGAGGTTCATTTAGGGTGCTCTCGTTATACATATTTGTTGTTACGATGATAGTATTTTCACGTGGACTCACAACTCTGTGGACCTTTTGACTAGACTGATCAGAAAAATAACAAGTGTACTATTTTGCTTATGTAGTAATAATGAGGAAAGTTCCCCAAATATCGATCTCCAGGACTGCGTGAAATTATGGAGTTCGAATCGTTGCTCAATTAAATAAAAACTAGTGTTTGGGTTTGATTTACTAAAATTAAAATAATCGTGAATAAAGTAAATGGATGTGGGAAACTGTTTCGACATATATGAGTACCATGCTAGGGAAATTGTGTGATTTATTCTTGTAGCAACTTTGAATTAATATTGCAACACCTTATTTTACATAATCAATTACTTGTTCTTAAGGGTGTTTACTCCTAAATCCTTAGTGAGAAAATATTTAATCATTCAACCTAAGTACTAAGTCCAAAGAAACTTACCGATGAAACTAAGCATTATTAAATCAAGAATAATCTAGTTCCTATAGGGTATCCCTAGTCCTAGGTGATATCTACAATAAAATATTCTCAAGAAAGAATTACTAACGGCGGTCTAACCTAATTGATAATCATACATCAATCTCAATTTATCTGAAAGAGAAAGCAATAAGAACATAAAGAGAACACATTAATTATAGAAAAGAACATTGTTATTTCAATTTGTCGCACTGTGTATAATACAAAAAATTTAGCGGTAAAGATTTGAGACTAAGCCATCAATTGACTTAACTCACACAATAAATTCGCCACCGCACTTTATTGTTTTCAAAAGGAAATGGGAAAAAAGCGAACAAAACCCAAAATGAAATAAAAGATCAGAGATCAAGGTACGGGGGTCGGTTATGCTAAGGGAAGCTATTAGCACCCTAAGCATCTACGGTACTCCACAAGATCCACTTTGTTTGTTCCTAATCGAAGAGTGTGTTATCTAAAAGCTTACTTGCTAAAGGGAATGAATGAATGAATATTTACAAACAAAGGAAATATTTTTTATTATTGCGTCTGCCACGGTTGCGAATCTTTGTGCCTACGTATCCCGTTCGTGCAATAAGGGATTAGGGCACTCGTAGTTCTCCTCAAAAAGAACAAAATTGAATGCGTTGATTGATTTTAAAAGAAAAGACAAGTCGTCATTTTTAAAGGAGAAGACCCGTCTAATCGCCCACAAGATATAAGAAAGAAAGACTATGCACCAACATGAGGGAGGATTTGAGAACACCTCTAGTATTCAAGTGGAAAAGTCGACAACAATGAAGATAGAGGAATAACATCTCGATTAAAAATGAATAATGTCTAATCTTGGAAAAGGTAATAAAGGATAAAAGGTGCTCGAGCGTACAAAAAGGTTTGAATGAGGTTGGATGTTTTTTAGTCTTTTGAAAAGTGTTTGCATATGCTTATGTGGTTTAGCATTTATTAAGAAACGAAGTTTGAAAAAAAAAACACTTGACAAAGTAAGGTTTATTATGAAAGTGGTTTCGAATTTGAAAATAAAGAAGGTTTTGAAAAAGATGAGAAGATTTTGAAAATTTAAGAATGGGGTAGGAGATGAAGAGAATATCCTATGTACAGAAAAGTAAAAGAAAAGGTAAAGAATGTCTAACCAAACGGAATCTCATACTTAATATAAAGAAATCAATATAGTGTCCCATCCCTTTAGATTTACAACCACAAGCAAATAAATAAGTCAAGAGTATACCAAACTTCAGGTGAAAATAAATCACAAGCATACAACATCAAAGAAACCCAAGGTTTTAGATAATACTCAAAGCAACGAATAAAACGCATCAGGTGAAAATAAATCACAAGCCGGGACAATGCACCAGGTAAGCTCAAGATGTCAGATAAAGCGTAAAGCATTGGATAAGTTCAATACGCCGGATAGAAACCATTGTATCAGAGAAAAACTCCAACAAACAGACAAACAGGATAGCCGAGGAATAACCCGAACATCTCATATGAAATAAGAATCGAGCCCAAGCGGACTAGAAACCTGTATCAAAGCTAAAATAAAACAAATGAAATATAGAAATGGATGCTTAATTAATTAACTTAAAAGTTGATTAACTTAATTAATTAAGTTAAGAAAAATTAATTAGCCGAAACTAATTAATTTTTATTAACGAGATTAAATAACTAAATCGACTTTTAATTAATTAACTTACAGCAACAAAGTAACATTAAGATGAAATGAAAATTTAATTGATTAATCAAGAGTTGATTAACTTAATTAATGGAGTTAAGAAAAGTAGATTGGTAAACTAATCCATTTTTAATAACAAAATCAAGTAAATAAATCAACGCTTGATTAATTAATCAAAAGCGAATAAAATGTGTGAAGCGGAAGTGGCTACTTAATCTGTCTTGAAAACTCAGTCCAACAAACAAGTTAGTAATAAAAGAGAATTATATATCAAATGAAACTCGCATGAATGACATTTGTTCAATCAAGTAAATGGTTTACTCAAAGATTTCAATTCACGTGAAACTAAAACAAAATAAACACAACTGCAAACATGTTTCTCAAAACAAAAGCGAAAAACCCAATAATCTTAACCACAAATGCAAAAACCAGATAAAAACAACATACATATATCTATCCAAAAACACAGGTACAGTCCAACCTTTACACTAAATCAAGTTGAACAAACTGTAACAGAGTCAACATAAATCAAAATCAAAATCAAAATCAAACTGTAACCTTTACACAACGACTAAGAAGGAGTGTTGCTGTGCTGAAACAGAGCTGACAGTAGGCTTGACGGAAATTTGAAGTTGAAGTAGCCAGAAGGTACGGTAGGAGACTGTGACAAATCGCGGAAGAGGCTGGAATCGGCGAGATTGTGAACTGATGCTGATGAACATTGAGCAGAGCGGAGTGTTGATTCAATGGATGAGGATGGTGTTTGTAGTTGGGTTCTGATGATGATGATTGTTGAAGGTAGAGAGGAAGGATCGAAAGGTGAGAGGAGAGGAAAAATTTTATGTGTTTTCTTTCTAGATATGCCTTTGCCTCCCTCTTCACGATAGCCACCTCTCATGTTATAACAAAATTCACCTTATCCACAACTAGGTCTTACAAATTGACCAAATAAACCTCATTGAAGATATTTAATGATATGAAAATAAAAATTAAATATAACAAATTTAAACAATCTCTTTTTTTTATATAACTATTTTCTAATAATAAACTAACTAATAATAAATATGCCTAATTTTTTTCTATACAATTTTCTTTTATAAAATCCTAAAAAAATAAATAAAAAACTATATAAAAAAATTATATATATATATATATATATATATATATATATATATATATATATATATATATATATATATATATATATATATATATATATATATATATATATATATATATATATATATATATATATATATATCACAATTTCTTATAAATTTAGAACTAAATCTAAACTAACTAACACACATGTACACGCGCGCATATATATATATATATATATATATATATATATATATATATATATATATATATATATATATATATATATATATATATATATATATATTTCATATCTTCTTAATAATAAAAATAAAGAAATACAAAATTAATATCTACAAGAAAAAATTGATAAAGATTTAATCAAAAAATAAATGTAAATGTGCGAAGAAATGCAAATATACGAATAAAAATTAAATGGGTATAAACGATTCGAATGAGAAAAACTCAAGGTAAAATTTGGGGTACAACAACTGCCCCTATTTAAATATCTTTAACCAGATGATGTGAAGATGATCGGGCTTCATATAATCATAGTGGGAGATAATTAAATATCAAAGAACCTAGAATTTTACCCTGAGACGCAATGAGTATGTCGTGAATGAAACGTGGCGAGAATGCGATGAATGCATGACTTTTATATATATATATATATATATATATATATATATATATATATATATATATATATATATATATATATATATATATATATATATATATATATATATATATATATATATAATTCTTTTGCGATTTTTCCTGATTATTAATCTAAACCTGCAAACAGTCATGAAGCACAACCAAAGCATAAAATACGAAAGAAAAGGAATTAAAGTACTTGAAAACAAAGAGAAGATTAACTAAAATTAACGGTAAACAATGGTGTAAAAACCACTGATCAAACTCCCCCAAACTTATACCGTTGCTTGACCTTAAGCAACAAAACTTGCAACGATGCCAAACATATCTATACAGATAAGAGCTCCTGAAACACAAAGTTTACTGGTACTCATACGTGAGACTCTCATTCACATTGGTCAAGAGATAGTTCTTTCGATATTCACATGAGGCCAAAAGTTTTTGTGATAACATTTCGAACCTAAAATTCCCTTTTTGGATACCTCTCCAATTGTACTTTGTACTTAAGTCTTTTTCCGATTTTCCTCCTTTTTTATTCGGACAATCAAATTAAGGCAATGAGAGTTATGATCATCATCACATGTACAAGACTAATCAAAAAATTTTGTTTAGGCACCAAATAAGCAGCAATTGCTACTTTTTATTATCGATGAAATTTTCAAATGTTTCCAGTTTATATATTATCCTTATTTGGACGAGTTTTGGGATCAACCTTCTTTAGGCTGAATAACCGGGTGAGGGTTACCCAACTTAGTGGACCGGTTGCCTTTTACCGCATTTTCATCATTTGGTGCTAAAATTATTTATTTCTCAACTGTTGCGACTGGTTTTCAAATGAGAGTCGTCACTACTAGTTTTTATCCTAAGGAAGGGCATCTAATATGAAACCCTGATTCGCAAGACAAAGATTCTAAGTTTTGGACCTCAGTAGACGAAAGGAAGGTGTTAGGCACCTTTCATCTACCTTATTCTTAAGAATATTAGGTTTTAGGTTTAGGCTAAAATAGGGTTTAAAATTTTAATAGCGGAACTCGCCACGATTTTTGATCGTATGCCTACGTATCCTCTTATGAGGAATCAGAGTCCTAATTCGTAGTTCGTATGGGTTTGTGTGTTTTTAAGGGTTGCAAAAGTATTTTGAATCGCCCCGCATATTGACCGGGTGTAGAGATTTCTGAATTTTAGACTAAATGTGCGATTAGTCAAAATATATTTGAAACCCTTTTGCAAAAATAGTTTGTTTATATTAGTTTATTTTCGAAAAAGAGATTAATGTTTGTTGAATATATTTTAACAATATTAATTATAAAATATCTTAATTAATGCATGTCTAAAAATATTTTAATGCAATAATGTAGTAAATAATATATACATGAATTTTAAATAAAATAATTTAGATGATGATAATAATAATAATAATAATAGTAATAATAATAATAATAATAATAATAATATGATAATAAAAATCAATAATAATAATAATAATTATTATTATTATTATAAAAAAGAAATAAAAAATAAAAAGAATACGTGAGTCATAAAAAATAGAAAATTAATTAATTAACTCAGAAGGGGGGGGGGGGGGGGGGCAGTTTGTTATGCGTTTTAGTAAAACAAGGGAAGGGTGGTGTGGAAATTAATTGGGCCAGGCCCATAGACGAATTGAAGAGGAGTTCGGATGATTGGGTAGGCGAGGGTGTATGGAGGATATAGTGGACCTGGCCTCATAGCCATCCACTGATGATCAAAGGGAGGAGATCAAGGGTGCATGTCTGTTACGGTGAGCGCGTGTGCGTTGGAACAACATAACATAAAAAAAAATTAACATTATTATTTCATTTGTTTCATTTACAGTGAACCTTTCATCTTTCTCTCTCGCGTGCAACCTCTTTCTTCTCTTTCAAAACCCTAAGAAAAACCACCCCCCGTGGCGGCGTTATCTCAACGAAACCCCTTCACTATAAACACCTATCAAACCCCCTCAAATACAAGAGCAATTAACACAGAGAGCTAAGATATTTTTGTTACCCCTTTCGCTATTTCAGCTTTTGAACTTTCAAGCCTCTTCCGCTTCGCTAATATCTCTTTGTCTTCTTCAATTTGCAGATCACGATGGAGCTCGAGGGTGGAAGCAACGACGACAACGATGTGATTAGGGTTTCAGATATTGAAACCCTATTCGCGGTCTTTTTCGTTCTTCAACAAACTGGAGGTTTATTCTTCGTGTTCTTCGCTTGTCTTCAAATTCTCCTCCGTCTCTGTATCTGGTATCGCCCTTTTGTTAATTCGTTTATTCTAATTTCTTCCTTGTAATTGACCCCCCCCTTCTGTTAATTCTGCTTCCGTACTTATAGGCTTTACGAATTTCTGTTATATTAGATTTAGGGTTTTGTAAATCAATTAGGGATTGTAATTGATTTAGTTTTCTGAGATTTTTGCCCTGTACATTAGGGATTCAGATTGTTTGTAATGGAGATTTCCGGGCTTGGACTCTGCTGTATTTGATTTGCAATTGATTTTAGGATTTGATTATTTTAGATTTTATACTGTAAAAAAATCTTGAATTTGCTTTTTAGAAGATTTGATTTGCAGATTTAGTGTTAAATTTCTACAGTACTTGTTATATTGAAGAAAACGTGCGTAAATATTGGGTAATTGATGCAGTGCATGTTTTTCATTCAATTGGGCTTAAACGTTCTTGGTCCAACATTTTCAGCCGCACGTTTTTTCTTTTTACTGCACTAGGGTTGGGCATCGCGCTGATTTTCTTATGGTCCAGCTTATTTTGAAATTGGGCCTTTACTGTTTTTTTCAAAAAACTTGATCCAATATCTTTTTAAACAACACTCTTTAATAACTAAATTATATAAATAATTATTAATGAAAACATTACTGTAATTAAAAAGTTTATCAGCAATATATTACGTTTTTTCCTTTTTAACAGAGAAATATATTTTATTTATTTATTTTTTATTAAAATAATAATAAATGATTTTAATATTATGCTTCTTTTTGACATGAGACAACAAAATCCCAAGAAGACAAATGGGCCCAGCTTTAATAAATAAACAGTAAAATAATGTTTAAACAAAATAGGATGATTTTCAAAAATAGATCAAATGGGCTAATAAGACATACACCCCCTCCCCTCTCTTACCCAAACGAAAATGGGTCATCTCAATATTTTCAATTTCTTTGGGCCTGTAACTTGAAATTACACCCCTCCCTTTACTAAAAATGTGACCTAAAGGGCCTTTATATAATTAACAACTTAATTTCCTTTTGAAATAAAATAGACCTTCATATAAGAATCTCATGGGCCATTAGCCAACATGCTTCGTGAATGGGCCTATGGGTATATGGGTCTTTCTGATTTAGAAATCCCCACTCCCTTGAATTAAAATACACCCCCTGACTGTCTTGGATATAAGAATAGACCATCAGATATTGCTGAACCATCCCTAATCAAAACATTCTCTATTATTTTAATCTTGAAAATAAAGGTAGGGCAATTTTAGGGTACGACAACTGCCCCTATTCAATTATCTTCCAATCGAATATCGTGAGAATATACTAGTCTTACGCATTTTGATTAGGAGTTTATTGAATACTTTTAATACCCCAAAATTAGTTCGACAAATATAAGGTTACATTGATGTAGCATACACTTACGAGTCTTGAGAAGATAGCCAAAGCTGATGATATATCGCCTACCCGGGTTTGACGATGAGGAAAATGGTCTTGAGCTTGAGAGAGCAATCTTGTATGTCTTGGTTTGATTTTGCTTATTCATCCATTTGGGGGGATGAATAAGACAACACTTGATAACACATGGCTGCTTGGAGACTGAAGCAATGGGTTATGTTCGTGAATCACTGCGTGGAGTCTTAGGCGACAAGCTAGATTGAGCATCACTGCATGGAGTCTTAGGAAATGGTCTGCATTACGAAATAAGGAAACACATTGTTGCATGGAGTCTTAGGCAATGGATTAGGTTTGAGAATCGCTGCATGGAGTCTTAGGCGATGAGCTACATTTGGATTTCGAACACTGTTGCATGAAGTCTTAGGCAATGATCTAAGTTTCGCGCATTACGGCCTGGGGTCTAAGGTAATGAGCTAGGTTTGGGTTTCGAAC